GCGCCCCTGAGTTGTGCGTGAGACAGAGCTCTGTATCCATAATCTCCTGTACAATAAACCGTAAACCCGAGGACGTGTATTCTTACTCCGTCTATCCAGTTTAACCCAGGGCATGGTCTAGAAGGACGTGAGAAAACACCAGGACATATTTATTAGAAAACATTTCGATCCTGGGACCTTGATCATGTGTCTTTCTAAACCAATTTGTGGGTATCTATTACCAAGGTTTATAACAGCCCAGGGTATGCCCAGACTTAGGGTTATGATAGATTTGGTGGCAGCGGTTGGCTTGAACTCCTGTATAGTCAAAGACCATCTTGCCAAACGTCCAGAAGGTTGTTGACAAGACAGGGATTAGTGATGCATGATCTGTCAAGGTATGGCTTCGATACAATTGATATGTCATGAAAATATTCTCGAGCCCAAGTAACTTTCGTCAGCTTTAGTCAAGACTTAGACTGTTAAATGCAGCGGGGTTGTACTTTGAATAAATGGCTCATAAATTCTACAAGTTGATGACTCAGACATTTGTCCAACATTTGGGAATCTATATTTCGGCGAAACGATTCCTCTAATTAATAAAGCAAGTTTGCCGATGACACCAAAATAGGCCGTCGAATTCATTCTGAAGAGGACATTAGAGCACTCCAGGGAGATTTGAATAGACTGATGCAGTAGTCGGAGAAGTGGCAGATCCAGTTTAATATAGACAAATGCAAAGTTCTGAATGTTGGACAGGAAAATAACCATGCCACATATAAACTAAATAATCTAGATCTTAATACTACTGATTGCGAAAAGGATTTACTTCTGGTTAGCAGTAATCTGAAACCAAGGCAACAGTGCATAAGTGTTCGCAATAAAGCTAACAAAATCCTTGGCTTCATCTCAAGAAGCATAAATAATGAGGAGTCCTCAGGTTGTTCTTCAACTCTATATATCCTTGGTTAGGCCTCATTTAGGTTATGCTGCGCAGTTTTGGTCACCGTATTACAGAATGGATATAAATGCATTGGAAAACGTACAGAGGAGGATGACAAAGTTGATCCCATGTATCAGAAATCTTCCCTGCGAGGATAGACTGAGGGGCCCTGAATCCGCACTCTTTAGAAAGGCGGAGAATTAGGGCGGATATGATTGAGGTGTATAAATGGAAGACAGGAATAAATAAAGGGGATGTAAATAGTGTGCTGAAAATATCTAGACTAGACAGGACTCACAGCAATGGTTTTAAGTTAGAAAAATTCAGATTTAGGAAGGATATAGGAAAGCACTGGTTTGGTAATAGAGTTGTGGATGAATGGAACAAACTCCCGAGTACAGTTATAGAGGCCAGAACGTTGTGTAGTTTTAAAAATAGGTTAGATAAATACACGAGTGGGTGTGAGTTGGACCTGATAAGTTTGTGCTACTAGAAATAAATAAATAACAAAAAGGCACAATACCGTGACTGGAACAATACACAAATAACCCGCACATAAAAGAGAGAAGCTTACGACGACGTTTCGGTCCGACTTGCACCAGTGTGACTTTGTCAATGGTCCAAGTCGGACCGAAACGTCGTCGTAAGCTTCTCTCTTTTATGTGCGGGTTATTTGTGTAATGTGTATAGGTCAGTTGTCGTTTTCCTTAAGTGAATGTGATCTGACCTGACTAGGTTGGGGCATTGGCTAAAGCCGGTAGGAGACTTGAACCTGCCTCGCATGGGCCAGTAGGCCTGCTGCAGTCTTCCTTCTTTCTTATGTTCTTATTACAGAGGTCGGCGAACTTGTTTGTATACTTTCTGGACTTAAAAGGCCAGAAAGTCTACAAAGTCCAGAAAGTCCATAAAGTCCACAGAATTCAAATTCAAAATAGTTTACTGAATCAATTTATTTGGAGAACACGGTGATAAAGTTGAAAATTATGTATTATACGCGATAAAGCAATTTTAAAATAAAACACAAAATTAATAATAAAATGAAAAATAAACTGCATGAAATAAAAGCAGTAAGAGACAAATTTATCAAAACTCTCATTAGGGAAGTAAAGAATTTCACTGAAAACATTTTCACTTCAAGTTTTGGAGAAATGATGACGTTTCATTTCTGATACATCATCAAAATTATTTCTTTCTGGTGATAATTTGCCTCGCTCATTTTTTTTATATATACATGTATTTACCGAGCCTTCATTACCCCAGACATGTTCATTTTTACGATATTTGGGGTAATTTACCCCGGTTCCTCGATCTAGGCCTAATAAATGCCCTGAAATGTACACTGTTTCTCCACATCTTGTCGGTGTCAAAATGGTTTTTGCAGAGATGCTATGTATGAGTCACTGCTGCCGGGTTGTGTGAGGACGCCCGAGGGTTAGGTCGGGTGAGGTCAGTTTCAACTAGGAGCGCCTCCAGGCTGGATGTACCACAGAGCTCTGTATCTAGTGTAGCCTTGGGCATGCCCACACTCACAGCATGACACAATAACTAGCATGTTGCCTCATGCAATAACCAGCATAATTTATATGTTGCATGGTGTAATAACGCGTGTTACGCACACCCAGTGAAGAGTGAAGAAGAGGGGCCAGGAGCTGAGTCTCGACCCCTGCAACCACAATTAGGTGAATTAGGTGAGAACACACACACACACACAAAGGCGAAAGAGAGTACACACAAATGGTAACACGAGAGAGAGAGAAGAGAGAGAGAGAGAGAGAGAGAGAGAGAGAGAGAGAGAGAGAGAGAGAGAGAGAGAGAGAGAGAGAGAGAGAGAGAGAGAAAGAAAGAGAGAGAGAAAGAGAGAGAGAGAGAGAGAGAGAGAGAGAGAGAGAGAGAGAGAGAGAGAGAGAGGGATGAGTGAAATTAGAAAAAATGGAGTAGGGGAGGAAGAGGAAAAGTGTAGTGAGGTGAAAGATGAAAGGGGGAGCCGTTAATAAAGTAGTGTGACAGTGTAAGTTCCTGGGGATGGGGAGTAAGGGCTTCACAGAGGCACCGAAGGGGATGCAGGAGAGGGAAGGGGGGCTGACAAGGGTAGGAAGATTAGGGTAAGAATGAGCAGGATAGGGGAGACAAGTTAACGAAGGAGGGGAGAGGAGGGGAAGGCCTCCCTTGGGATCAACAGGAGGGAGGGGAGGTTGGAGGTGATTGAAGCCGTGTTGAATGTCAGTAGTGTGTTGGCTGACTAGATGGAAGATCCTAATAGACTAGATGGAAGATCCTAACAGACTAGATGGAAGATCCTAATTGACTAGATGGAAGATCCTAACAGACTAGATGGAAGATCCTAACAGACTAGATGGAAGATCCTAACAGACTAGATGGAAGATCCCAAAAGACCTGCATCTTTTCTTCCCTGAAAAGTCAAGTATTGAGTCTTGAGAACTAAGCAGTTATAACAACAATAATATAAGTGCAGTATTTACCTATCAGAGGAAGTAGTCTTGTGTTTAACACAGGGAAGTCACTCCTGTGTTATCCTATACGGTATATGGATGCAATAACACTCATGTGCTCTTAAAAATCACTAAGAATAAAAGCTTCTCTTTGTAAAACCTAAATAAACCCTTACGAGTTTTTACTAAGTAATGTTTCAGTGAGAGTTTCATACTCGTATGTATCTCGCCTGTATTTCTACACTATTTCTTAGTCTTAAATTTAATAAATTTGAGTCCATGGTTGTGATGCCTCATTTCTTGAATTTTCAAAACTTTATATGTACGTACCTCACTTATGCTTCTCATCCATTTGTAACCGTTAGTGTTATTATACCTGATGCTGAGCACTGAACTACACAACCAAAGTCAAGAGGAAACTGGTCAAGTATCTTCACCAGGTGCTATATCAACCAGGTTGTGATGGATAGGTTGGGCTGCGGGCCACCAACAGCAACAGCCTGGTTAAGCAGGCAAGCATCAGACGAGCCTGGCCCATGACCGGGCTCCGGGAGTCGAAAAACTCTCGTAACTCATCAAAGGTATGGATTTATAGCGGTAAAACCATGACAATCAAACTATTAGAATATGAAAACAAATTCTGGAGGCATTGGAAGAAAAATCGATGATGATGTTGGTAAACTCGGTGACCAGTATGTGACACACGTGGTTACATTAGTCACTATGACAGTTACATTGTGGGAGCACCTGCGGTGTGGAGCTGCCTGTTCAATATAATTGAGGGCACCCACAGTGTGATGCCACCCCTACTCGATATGATAATTACATTGTAGGAAAAAAATAGCTACATTTCTCGCCATATTCCACCACACAGGGTGGGTTCAACACAACAGCCAATGAACTGTATCAGTCTGGGTTGGCAGATTTCGGCGAGGTCATAACACCATAACCGTACATGTACCCTCTCCCTCCCCTCTAGTAGTACACAAACAAGGTATAGACTAAGGTACTGGTGCAGCAGTTAACACAAGAGTAAAGAGCACTCAAGTGTGACATACGAGCTTACGTATGTCATACTTCACATAACCATTACAACCCAAAAGGTAATTTCTCCTCCTCAGCACCTTCGCCATGACAATATTTGTTAAATAATTTACAAATTTGCGTTTTACCTTATATCTCTTACTCTAGTTGAGTTGCTATAGAAATGTGTAGCTCAGGGACCTGGATCAAGAGTGTTTCTCCCATGTATAAATTACAAGATACTTCCTTCAACTCCATTCTAATAAGTACGCTACATTCAGTGTTCTAAAGCACTACCATTAGTTTAATTTATCGTATTCAAGCAGGCATGGTGAGAGATTTCTACATTTTGTTGCTTAGCTATGTCACCTACCTTGATCAGTACAAGTGGAATGTCACCTCTGAATATCCTTTTGTTTTCTGTTGGACAGTCTCTTTAAGAGCTTGTTTGTTACCTGTGCGTACCTGTTGATGGTACGGGGCTCACACCACCCATGACATGTCTCAAAAGTTGAGAGTCGGGGCCAGGAGCTGTGAATCGACCCTTGCAATCCCCCCCCCACACGTGTACAGGAAACAAGAGGGGAAATATGAATGGTACTCACCAACAACCATGAGGGAGAACTCGAAGCCACGCTTCACAGCCTTGCGGTACACTTGGTTGGGTAAGTTGGCGAATCCCACGTAACCGTCCACCTCCCGCGGCCGCCGCTCCTTCACCAGCTCCTTCACTAGTTTGTTCTGTGGAAACAATTGAAAATGTAGTGTCATAACACTTAGTCCTACTGCATAACTTGATGCCACAACACAACACATACCACTACACAACACTTAGTCCTACTGCATAACTTGATGCCACAACACAACACATACCACTACACAACACTTAGTCCTACTGCATAACTTGATGCCACAACACAACACGTACCACTACACGACACTTAGTCCTACTGCATAACTTGATGCCACAACACAACACATACCACTACACAACACTTAGTCCTACTGCATAACTTGATGCCACAACACAACACATACCACTACACAACACTTAGTCCTACTGCATAACTTGATGCCACAACACCTACACAACACTCAGTGCCACCACATAAAACTTAGTGGCACCATGCAACTTAGTGCCAGTACACAACATAATACCACTACACAACACTCAGTGCCAGCACATAATACCACTACACAATCAGTTCCAGCACACAACACAATACCACTACACAATCAGTGCCACAACACAATGCCACTGCACAACACTCAGTGCTAGCACACAACACAATACCACTACAAAATCAGTGCCACAACACAATACCACTACACAATCAGTGCCACTACACAACACTCAGTGCCAGCACATACCACTACACAATCAGTGCCAGCACATACCACTACACAATCAGTGCCAGCACATACCACTACACAATCAGTGCCAGCACATACCACTACACAATCAGTGCCAGCACATACCACTACACAATCAGTGCCACAACAGTGCCAGCACAACACAATACCACTGCAATCAGTGCCACAACACTCAGTGCCAGAACACAATACCACTATACAATCAGTGCCACAACAAAATGCCACTATACAACACTCAGTGCCAACACAACACAATGCCACTACACAACGCCTAGTGTCAGCAGACAATATTTCGTACAACTCCACGACATTTAGTGTCAGCACGTAACAGCACACCCAGGACATGCTCCAGTTGTTCCTATGGTATACTCCCAGTAAAGCTCCCCAGTACACACAATACGGGTCCTGCTACACCCATTACAGGTCCCCGTACACCCAGTAGAGGTTCCAGTATACCCAGCACAAGTACCAGTACACCCAGTAAAGGTTCCAGTACACCCAGTACAGGTTCAAGTACACCCAATACAAGTACCAGTACATCCAATACCAGTACAGTTCCCAGTACAGCCAGTAGAGAGCAAGCCCCACGCGCCAGGGCTCACGTAGTGTTCTATCAGCAGCTTAACAAGCAAGTGAGTTAAACTCATTTGAATCACCATGGATGTTACACAGTGTTAAACTTTATTTTATTATGTGTATCCTTGAGTCACCCTGTGTGGTGTGTCGTCACCCTGGTTGACATGGTGTGTCGTCACCCTGGTTGACATGGTGTGTCATCACCCTGGTTGACATGGTGTGTCATCACCTTGGTTGACATGGTGTGTCATCACCCTGGTTGACATGGTGTGTCATCACCCTGGTTGACATGGTGTGTCATCACCTTGGTTGACATGGTGTGTCATCACCCTGGTTGACATGGTGTGTCATCACCCTGGTTGACATGATGTGTCATGTGACGAAGGATAAGAGATTTAACCTAATATTCCATTTTAGAATGTTGCTATTTCCTATGACAATCCTGTTGGGTTAAAGGCAAAGATACTCGACTCGCTTATATGCAGCTGTGTTGCTAGTGAGAGAGGGCACTGTTTGTGAGTGTCAGCAGCACAGTGAGGTCAGGTTATGAGGGAGAGTCACACACCTCTATCATGGGAGAGGGTCACAGACCATAATGGGCGAGGGACATACACACTTCTATCATGAAGGGAGGGGGTCACAGACCTCTATCATGGGGGAGGGTCACGGAACTCTATTATGGGGGAGGGTCACAGACATCTATCATGGGGGTCACAGACCTCTATCATAGGGGAAGGTCACAGACCTCTTGTGAGATACCACTGGTGTTCCACTCTGTGAGGACCACTTGACCTGGGAACATAGCTACCTGCTGACCTGAGATGATAAACTTGACACAGGTGGATGGGGACAACTTTGAGTAACAAGCTGGGGTATAGGAAATGAATTCTTATAAGCCTAAGCAAGGACACGCATTTTGTCTGGGATACAGCCTCCCAGAGACGGAATTCAGCCCTGCACTCACCGAGGTCACTTCGGAAGGTCACTCATACAATCACAAGCTGACTGACACCCTTTGGATCAATGATACACTGACGCCATGAAGAGGAAGCAGTGCTGGTGCTCCCTTTCCCACGTGTGTGACCTTTATTTAATATTTATATTTAAAGGAGACATATATGAATGTAAACTCACCCACTGGAAGCAAGTTTACAATGTATGAATAAATGGTTCCATATCACCTATAAGTATGTATCTCAGTAGTAGTAACCAGTTACCAGTAACCAGTGTACCAGTAGTTGCTGTGGGCGGCCAGTCAGTTTACGAGAGTGAGCAAGAGAGATAGGTACGGCTGTAAGGGCGCTCCCCACATTATCTGTAATTATACGTACTACCAGCCTACGTGAGTTTTACTTTACCCAATCCACGTGTTCGAACTCCCACATGATATGTACACGTGTTCATATTTTTGAACCCAGTGACCTACGTGGCACTGTCCTGCGTAATGTCACTGCTTAGTGACCACACTTGCAGAAGATTGACCTGCAAGTGTAGCCAAAAATAATTTGTATAACCGTGGTGTATTGCAAGGATATCTGCAACCTGGGGTATTCAGGCTTACAATCATCCGGCCTTGCACTGTGGGGTGTCAGTATCCTTCTTAATAAGAGAGAGACTGTGTGTGTGTGTGTGTGTGTGTGTGTGTGTGTGTGTGTGTGTGTGTGTGTGTGTGTGTGTGTGTGTGTGTGTGTGAGTGTGAGAGAGAGAGAGAGAGAGAGAGAGAGAGAGAGAGAGAGAGAGAGAGAAGAGAGAGAGAGAGAGAGAGAGAGAGAGAGAGAGAGAGAGAGAGAGAGAGCGTGAAATAAGGTCACAAAAACATGCGATATCTGAGTATACTGTTCCTTGATAATGTGAGAACACGAAGTGCTTGGAATATTACTACTTTTCACTGTGGTTATATTGCATATATATTTACACGCACATACACACACACACACGCACACAATATATCTAAAGAATATGGTAAGAAGGGCTTGAATATATTAAGATAAGAGATAAAATAACATTTTGGAAGAAAATCAGAATGCAGATGTAATATACACAGACTTTGCAAAAGCATTTGACAAATGCGATCATGGCGTAATAGCCCATAAAATACGTGCTCAAGGAATAACTGGGAAAGTGGGGAGATGGATCTTCAACTTCCTAACAAATCGAACACAAAGAGTAGTGGTCAACAGAGTTAAATCGGAGGCTGCCATAGTGAAGAGCTCTGTTCCACAAGGCACAGTACTCGCCCCCATCTTATTCCTTATCCTCATATCAGACATAAACAGAGATATACACCACAGCACCGTATCATCCTTTGCAGATGATACTAGGATCTGCATGAGGCTGTCATCTGCTGAGGACGCGGTTAACCTCCAAGAAGATATAAACAAAGTTTTCCAGTGGGCAACGGTAAACAATATGATGTTCAATGAGGACAAATTCCAACTACTCCGTTATGGAAAACTGGAGGAGATAATAACTAGAACAGAGTATACTACTGACTCCGGCCATACAATAGAGCGGAAAAATAATGTAAGGGACCTGGGAGTAGTAATGTCTGAGGATCTCACTTTCAAGGATCACAACAGTGCCACGATCGCACGTGCAAAGAAAATGATAGGATGGATAATGAGAACTTTCAAAACGAGAGATGCCAAGCCCATGATGATCCTTTTCAAATCACTTGTTCTCTCTAGGCTGGAATACTGCTGTACATTAACATCTCCATACAAAGCAGGTGAAATCGCAGATCTAGAGAGTGTACAGAGATCCTTTACTGCACGTATAAGTTCTGTCAAGCACCTTAACTACTGGGAACGCTTGGAAGCACTTCACTTGTACTCGTTGGAACGCAGGAGGGAGAGATATATCATAATCTACACTTGGAAAATCTTGGAAGGAATGGTCCCAAATCTGCACACAGAAATCACTCCCTACGAAAGTAAAAGACTGGCAGGCGATGCAAAATGCCGCCAATAAAAAGTAGGGGCGCCATTGGTACACTAAGAGAAAACACCATAAGTGTCCGGGGCCCAAAACTGTTCAACAGCCTCCCATCAAGCATTAGGGGAATTGCCAATAAACCCCTGGCTGCCTTCAAGAGAGAGCTGGACAGATACCTAAAGTCAGTGCCGGATCAGCCGGGCTGTGGCTCGTACGTCGGACTGCGTGCGGCCAGCAGTAACAGCCTGGTTGATCAGGCCCTGATCCATCGGGAGGCCTGGTCGTGGACCGGGCCGCGGGGGCGTTGATCCCCGGAATAACCTCCAGGTAACCCCGGAGGGTTAGGCACCCAGGGTAACCCAAGAAAACTAGTGCGTCATCGAGAGAGACTTATTTCCATTGTGGTCCTCAACCTTGTCCCCCAGGATGCGATCCACACCAGTCGACTAACACCCAAGCACCTACTTGCTAGGTGAACAGGACAACAGGTGTAAGGAAACTCGTCGAAATGTTCCCACCCCCTAGGGAATCGAACCCGGGCCCCTCAGCGTGTGAAGCGAGAGCTCTGCCAGCCAGGCCACAGCATATTTCTAAGATAAGATTAGATTTCGTTCGGATTTTTAACCCCGGAGGGTTAGCCACCCAGGATAACCCAAGAAAGTCAGTACGTCATCGAGGACTGTCTAACTTATTTCCATTGGGGTCCTTAATCTTGTCCCCCAGGATGCGACCCACACCAGTCGACTAACACCCAGGTACCTATTTGCTGCTAGGTGAACAGGACAACAGGTGTAAGGAAACATGTCGAATGTTTCCACCCGCCGGGAATCGAACCCGGGCCCTCCGTGTGTGAAGCG